TGTTTACTACAACTCGCGTTGCTCATACCACACGTACGCCTTCGTTTATGACATTCTTCAGGCTGCTGTACACTTCTCTTTGCATTGTTACATACACATATATCTACAAGTATGTATATAAATATTATTATATAAAGATCACACAATTATCATTGTACTGTCTGTTAACGGTACAAAAAAAAATATTTAAGGAGACCAAAGCAAATAATTAAATAATTGCGTAAATAATGAGTCAAATGATAATGAACTGTCAGCGGCAAATTTCCATAGAATCCAAGCTACAAATAGAGAAAACACAAATAGAAAGGTAGCATAATAAAATTGTTGTTCGTTATGCTATCAAGTAGTGGGCGGAATGGCAATGGGTGTGTGCGTCTACACGTGTCAAATGTTGGTTATTGTTATTGCGTATACTTATATACATATTTGTGTGTATCTTTAGGAGCAGTATAAGCTTGTTGTTTTGCTGCTAATATTGATTGGAGTTGTTGTTGTAATAATTTCAGCTTTTTTTCGCAATTGTCTATTACTAGCCAATGAATAATAAGCTACAAAAAATTGACCGTTCGTTTCTTTACACTTCTTACTCAATCACACGTCATATTTATAATAACAATTTAAGAAAATAAAAACTTTTATTCAAGAAAATCAAAATAGGAAATCTTAAAAAAATATCTATACTTCAAAGTCTATTACTGAAAAAATCATATAACGTCCCAAAATGTTTGTTTTAAAAAATTGTATTTACAAAAAAATTAGAAAAAACGAAAAAAACACGTTAACTTCGGGCGCACCGAAGCTATAATACCATTCACAACCACAAACGATTCTTTAAACAATTTTTTTTTTAAAGTTAGTGGAAAATCATATGATTTATCAAAATTTTTTTGTTTTTATTAAAAAAGATTCTGTATAAAAAATAATAAAATATGATATTACATAAAGAAATGACCAAACATTTTAAAATCTAGTTTTTTAAATTTTAAATCTGAACAGTTTTTAACTAGATTTCCAAAATTTTATAGTTAAGTTGTTAGAGTTATTGTTTGAAAATTGAAAATTTTTAGGTATTTAGAGTTGTATAAAATTATAAGATGTCTGAAAAATAAAGTCTCATAAGTTTGGATTTGGTCTCACAACATAATTAAATTAGTGAAATTTTTAAAAAATAAAATTTAAGAGCTTTAAAAACCCAAATAAAAATTTATTATTATTATGAAGGAAAAAAGTTTCGTATACATTTAAAATTTTTTTGTTTTTGAATTCGAAATATTCTATATGAAATGAAAATATTATATATTGTAAATATTTTAAATTAATTTATTAAAATTTCGAAAAGTTTTCATAAAATTTGGTTCGTTTAAAATGAAAAAATTTTAACATGAAAAATGTTCGATTTCAAATAATTATTGTTGTTGCGCAAATGTGCTTACAAATCATGATAGCTCAACTCACGTTTAATTTTGATGCACGCGTAACTAAAAGTTGTTCCATTTCAACTTTTTTACAACAATTTTGCCTCCAACCTTTATGCCCTCATGGCAGCAACATACCTAAACGTAGCTGTACTCGGAAATTATCTGTCTGCTGTTTATTTATTTTTATGTTATTCGCATTTCCATTTAGCAAATACATTTTACTTATCGTAAAAACCAAGCATAAATATTTTTATAAGCCATTGCCTTCGGGAATTCACCTTTTATGTCATTTCAATTACACATACGCCTGGTTGAACAGCAGGTTTTTTGTTTTGTGTTTAGTTTGTAAATATTTGTTTGCTGTAATGAGACTCATACTCTCGGAAACCGGTAAATATTATATGCATCTGTTTTTAGGGCTTGTATAGTAATTTGTAATTTGTAATTTGTAATTTGATTTGTAATTCGTAATTTGATTTGTAATTTGTAATTTTAATTTATAATTTGTAATTTGTAATTTGTAATTTGTAAGTTGTAATTTGTAATTTGTAATTTGTAATTTGTAATTTGTAATTTGTAATTTGATTTGTAATTTGTAATTTTAATTTACGATTTGTAATTGTTAATTTGTAATTCGTAATTTTGTAATTTATAATTTGTAATTTTATAATTTATGATTTGTAATTCTAAATTTGTAATTTTTATGTGTAATTTTTAAGTTGTAATTTATAATTTGCAATTCTTAGCTTGAGCCAGGTCAAATCCAAATCCAAGAGCTAAGATTAATTCATTCGCCTAACTGTCGCATTTCCGTTCATTACAATGAGATTATGTGATTACTTGTTAATGATTACTTAAAGCAGATATTCACTGATTCATAATCGAAAATGAAGTAAAATATCGGACGGAAACCATAAGCCATTGAAGCCTAATTTTTCTACTGCTGACCATTCTAAATTCAATAGAGAGTCATCGTATGATTACCACGACTGCTGCTTGCGCTTTCTGCGCCAATTCGCCTCGATTATTTTGAGTGCGTAATAAATTGTTATTATGTGCTCTAATGGACTTTGTTATCTCTATTCAACTTTGTAAGCCTTGTTTGTGAAGCGCAGATAGAAGCAAAATGTAATTACAGCCAGCTAATTTTGGCATTGTATTGGAGATTGTGGAAACCGAAAGCGCGCTAATATACATACAAATTAGAAGCGGCAATTGTTTTGTTGTAGAGCCTTGGAGAGTGTTGCCATAACCGACGAACCATTGACATTTGTGGCAAGAGGACTGACTGCAATTATGAATTTTTTGTTGAAAGTTTTCTGTGTATGTGTATGTGTAAGTGCTTGTGTTTGTTTGTGTGGTACTGTATAATTTTTTCTCTTTGGTTGTTTGTTTTGATTGTGCTCTCTTCGCTTGGGCCGAAATTGCTTTGGCATGTGTCCGCCGCGTCATCGGGAAGAATATCGCTCCGTTGTTGCCACACAGTCTAATGCGTGCAACATGTGTGGTTCTTGTGGTTATTTGCAGTACTATTGGCTTTCGGCGAGCGGCAATGAGACTATTTAAATGCAGCAAGCTATCGTGTTAATTTAAACGGAGGACGAATTTTTCGAAGCAAATTAAATCTTTGTGGTTTGGAAAGAAAATAATGCTGCCAAATGAGTTTTAAAATATATAAGTGTATGCCTACAGCAGAAGAAAGAAAAAAATGGTTACTTTGTTTGCACCGAAAATATAATATCATTATCAGATCTTTATCCTGATTTTGAACGCTCAATTTGTATGGAAGTTATATGCTATTGTTGTCCAATATCGGCGGTTCCGTCAAATGTGCAACTTCTTGAGAAAGAAATGCTGTGTACATTTATACAGACAGACGGGTCATTTATATATTAATTTTGAGGCGTCTTTTTGAAGCGTTTTCTTCTGGGTATTACAAACTTCTTGCCACAAATGCTTTGTTCAGATTTTCTTTTGGTTATCTTCGTACCTACAAGATAACCTAAATTTACTCTCGCCATACCTCTTTACATCGATTATGGTTTCACATTGCAAATTAGTCCTCTCCTTTCCTTGCTACATCCACAAAATATGGACCTTGCTTTATCTTAAATTTCATTTCGCATTTCCGTTTTGTATTTCCGTATAAATCGCGCTTTATTTACTTTGCAGCTGCACTTTTGGTCGCATATACGCTGTATTTATGCATTGTACAAATATTTGTTCGAGCCGATGCTACGAAACATATCTGTAAATTTATATGTTTATGTAAGTAAGCCCTTTTGATCCATCTTCAAGCCATACATTTCACATCACTACCACTACAGCGAATGACTCTTATTGGCAGTTTGATTAATTGTTATGCCGCAAACATTTCGCGCCGATGAGGTGGCAAAGCGGCAGTTCAATAAATGGTATAACTTAAATTACGTTGCATACTTTTAGGCTTCAACAGATATTCGATAGCTGAATATAAAGAGGATATTTGTGTGGCTCATTAACGGCGATCAATTAGGTCAAAAGTTTTCCGTTGCTGTGATTTCATGGTGGATTTGTTGGGTATTTTTAAGGGAGTAAAGAGGTACATTTAATTTTGGGGTCCTTCAGAAATCGAATTGTTTTTGTTATACAATATTTGTTTAGAAATAAATAGTATGCGACTTAAAAAGTCAAGAAAAATTGCCTAGCGCGCTGTCTGTGCCGTGAAAGTGAGTTTTAAGCACGCAAAAGCTTAATATAAAAAAAAGGCTAGCACCACCTATCGAAGCTTTTCGGATATATTAAACTCTTGAGTTCACAGGTGGCGCTGTTCGGGATTCAGTGTATTGGTTTATGTTTTCCACCAAAGTTGTTGTTTTGAGGATCCTGTCAGTTTAGAACCAAAAGCAAACCGGGTTATAGTTAACCTCACTAAGAAATCGCTTTAATATAATGAGCTTTCTAAATCTTTGACTCAATATGGTGCTGAAAACAGCCACGCTGTTGTTGCAGAATGGCGGCATACCAGAGCTACAAAATTGTTTGAGAAGAAATCTTTAAATACGAGTATAATCTGCAGACTAGGTCCAGAGAAGAAAAAGACGTTTGTTTGTGTACTTTAAGACTTTTTTGAAGCTTTTTGTACAGTAAATTAAATAGAAAAGACTTTAAGCTTTGGCCACTCTATCATATTCTTGCGGCATTTCCTTCTGCCTCAGGCTCACTTTTTTGCCGCCTAATACTATTAAGCACTTTTGTAACGGTTCTCTGCTCTTTTAGACAGCTCTGTAAATCAAACAAAAGAAATGTATGCTCTAGTTACTGATTCAATTTAAATTTGCTTACTTGGCAAAGCAGTGAGTAAGACGAAGATTAGTTGAAAGCGGAAACAACAGAAAAAAATGAATGCAAAAAACCGTTGAGTGCTGAAATGAGCTTACATGTAAAGTGCTTTTCGAATAGCACGAAGTTGTTGTTAGGTTTCGACGTTGCAAAAATATTCAGATACAGTACATTTAATTTGGGTATAAATTCTAAATTATAGTTTTTAAGAAATGTTTAAAATTTTTTAAATATTATTAATTTATATACGCTCTCTTGCAGATCAAGGATGTGACGCGCAATATCAAAAAAGCCGTTGTGGCTGCCACACTCGAGGAATTGCGCTCAAAGGTAGCTGAAAAATTCGATCATGTCGGCGATCAGCCGCCAACCATACATTTGGACTCCGATGGCACGGAAATCGATGATGAGGAGTATTTCCGTACGTTGGATGAGAACACAGAGTTGATTGCAGTATTTCCAGGCGAACATTGGATTGATGTAAGTTTGGAGCGAAATATCGATATTCATTTGAGTTTTGGAAAAAAATAAATATATTTATGTTTGCTAATAAATTTATACTATTTTTCAAATTTTAATAATTTGCATTTTTTGTTACATAAAAAATATGATATTTTTAAGTAAAAATTGTTTAAAAACTAATTTTTGTTTTGCATGTTACTTAAAGTTTGCATTGAAAATGAATTTTAAATTGAATTAAAATATGAAAAAAAAAAATATAAAATGTGTTTATATTAATTTTGCCCTAAAATAAACTAATTTAAATATCTATTATAAACTAATTGGCAGCAGAGTTCTTCTACTAAATTATCGTAAAAAAATAAAAGCTTAATATATTAATAATTTCAAGTCGAATTAGAATAAGAAATAAAACATAAGCGATATTTATACTCTAAATTTGCCACGCATTTTGTGAAACCTAGAGGGAAACATCGGAGTTCCTATAAAATATGGATATAAACGGTCAGCTTGACGAGCTGAGTCGATTGAGTCACATTCGTCTTATTGTCTGTTCGTTGTATATACGCGAACTAGTCCTTCAGTTTTTTAGATATCGATCTGAAACCTTTACACCCAAATGTAGGCAACAACCAGAAATTGAACAATTTCTAAATATAATTTCAAGCTCTGTTATATAGTCTTTTTAAATATATACAACATATATATTCACTACTTTATTAAATTTTTCTGAAATGTGTTACATTTTCTGAAATTTTTTGAAACAAAAAACAATTGCCAGTTCGCATTTTCGACAGATTGGGACACCAAATTAAATATTTACCCTTTTACGTTTAGGGAATTGATATAGGGTTTTCGAAAAAAAAATCTCTGGAAACTATTTCCAATAAAAACGTGGAAGTATCATATGTTTCCACTGTTTAAGTCTTCTATCATTTTGCGAGTACTAGGTAGATCGGGAAGCAGATTCAATGGGCAATTAAAAACTTTGAGCAACTTTACTAATGTGTGGATTATTTCGAATACAACTACATTTTTGAATAAATACATATTTTATTTCTGCTTTTAACCAACGGAAAAATAATGTTTGGTCCACGCGAACTTTTCTCTCTTATCATTTATTTAACTATATGCCTAAATGTAGGCAATGGTTTTTTTTACTAAGGCTGGTTTACTTCTAATTAAAAATAGGAAAAACTTTAATAACTATTAGGTAAATTATTCGCACAAATATACTTACTTTAGTTCTAATTTTAACCACCCGAAGAATAATTTCTCACATTTCATCATCTCTACTTGCCTTTATATCACTCATATTTATTTTATAAATGTATGCCTAAATGTAGGCAATGTTTTTTGTTATCAAGCAAGCCACCTTTTTCTTCTAATTTTTGCTACCACAAAACAAAAAAGCCTTAACAGCTTTTGTGTAAATGTTTCGCTGAAAAGGTATTAAAGTTTAAAATATCAGCGCTAACTTAACTTTCTAATTATATATTGAAAGTTGTTGCCTACTGCTCAACCGGAGCCTTCCCAATGCGGACGTGCTTTTTGTCACTTTTATCGTTAGTATACTTTTAATCTGCTAAACTTTTACCTTGCACGCCAATATTCATTTAGTCGGACAGTTTCAGACAGTCAAAGTTGTTGCACGTTGCACTTTTTACCTGAACGTACCACATATTTTTATGCTTCTCCTACCTTTACTACCCACATACTTTCCAATACGTTGGCAATATCGATTGTCGCCACCTTCTCCTCGTGCTCATTTGCTCGGCTCTATTTCCTGCTGTTTGTTTTTAAGTACCAACTCACAATTTTCCTGCTACTTGCACACATTTTTAAGTACTTTCTATCAAGCAAACAAAAAAAACGTTCACATTGTTCTACAATTTTATGTAAGTACTCGTATATAAAAAAAAGCAGCAAAAGAACTTACTAGTAGCTTTTGTTTTGCATACTTAAAGGCGCTAGAACGTTTGTCTGCTGCTTTGCACTTGATTTGAATCGCATGCAATGCCATAAACTTTGCTCATTCATGCTAAACTTGTAGCTCTCTCTCTGCCATCAATTCTCATTGTTCTCCTACAATATTCACTAGTCGCCTGTGCGATTTATATTACTTCCTTGTCTTTTATGTTATAGTTTCTCTAACTGTTGTACTTCTTTATTTATATGCATTTGTATTGCTGCTTTCTTTTTGTTGTTGTGCTGCCACTTATCGTTTCGATCTAAAATTTCATTTTAATTTTCCAAAGCACTTAATGGTATCATTTGCAGTTGTCTTCTGTTCAACTTTTACCTTCCATTTTGTTTGAAAGTTCCGGCTTTGCTGTTGCCCGCATACCGCTAAGTTGTCGCAGTAATTTTTATGTGCACCGGCTGTAACTGGCTGTTTGGAAGTACCAACTTTATTGATTTATATATCGCATTCATTGCATCGAGTTTCGCAGTCACGACAAACTATGGTATATACGACAGGCGTCGGTAATTCGATTATTTGTAAAAGAAAACACACAAAAAAAAGCAAGCAAAAACGTTAACGTCGGTTACCTTACCTAATACATTTCACAGATGCATTTTTTATAGCATAGAAGGGTATGAAAAGATCTTTATCTTGAGTTTGGTCGTACAGTTTGTACGGCAGCTATAAGCTATAGTGGTTCGATCAGAACAATTTCTTCGGAGATTTCCCATAGCAATGCCTTGGGTAATAATCTGTGCCGAATTTCGTGAAGTTATCTTGCCAAATAGAAAAGTTTTCAATACAAGGACTTGAGTTGGATTGGTCAATTTGTATGACAGCAATACGCTATAGTTGTCCGATATTGACTGTTCCAATAAATGTGACAGACGGAAATGGCTAAATCAACTCAGCTCGTCACGCTGATCATTTCTATGTATATGGTATATACTTTATAAGACCTCCGACGTTCACTTTTGGGTGTTACAGAGATCGTGGCAAACTAAGTATACCCTGTACAGCGTATAAAAAGCGAAAGAGACAAGCAAAAATAGTTGTCTTCATGTGTTGTAAACAAAGGTATTTCCTGCTTTCGTTCATGGTTTTGTACATATTTCTTTTATTCATGATATGTAACCAAGAAATATAGAAATAGAGCTTACGTAAGCTTGTTCCATAAGTTTTTAGAGTGAGTTGAACATATTTTTCCACGTAGCCGGAACTTTGACTCACGATTCACATTCTATGTAAACGAAACAGCTCTTGAAGTTGGAAAAAGTCAAAGCTTAAACATTTATTTATATTCTCGATGTTTGAACTTTTTATTCCATATTCCAATTTAAAAATTGTTTTATTTTATTTTGAATATAATAAGCTTATCATATGATTTATATGCGACGAGTGGCACACGAATCTTATTTGCTTTTGTGTTTCTTATGGCTATCAGCTCGAATGTAGGCAACAAACCTCTATAAAAGTGTTCATATTGCATAATGCCGGAAAATTCCGCAGCACCAAAAAGTTCAATTTCAAACAGTGGTCAGCATGACAAGAACTGTGAGAGTGTAGATTGAAAGTAAACCAACCCCGCGAGAACCTTATATATTTATAATTTCGAAACCTATTTCTTTCTTTCTATAAAAATTGACATATTTTGTTTATATTACCAATTAAAGAAATGTATTGGGTACTCAAAGGCAGAACTCTACGGTCTTTAAATTTCTATTTATTTTATAAGTACAATTGCGCCATAAAATTCCGACTCTATTTTAATGAGTTAGGTCAGTGTAGGATTTTAAAAAAATTGAAAATTTTTCTTTCTGTAAAGGATATTTGCATTAAAACTTATAATTTAATTAGTAGAATAGTGAAGATGTTTATTTACTTCCAGATACCACTAGTTTATAGAATCAGAGGCGTTTGTATAGATAGATTTTGAAGATTGGTACTGTTGCCGCTATTTTGCACCATTATAAATTTTTGTAGGCATCCATATTTTGTCATAAAGTCTGAAGGAATTTTAATAATAAATTAATTATATACATTTTTTAATAATAAATTTTTTCTTGCTCCCAGCATAAATTGTCAAAGTTTGCCTCTTTTTTTTTTAACTTTAGACTGGCATAACCTTAAAGCTATCTATAAAAGAACTCGTTGCCGAAAAATATACACTGTTTAGTTAACTTTTACAAGGAACAGACCACCTTTTTCGGCTACAAAAATATCTAATGGCCTTTCAACAAATTCGATTGCATATATTTAGGAGCTATTTCAATTGGTTTTGTTGGCTAGTTTGCAGCTGCTTGCAGTTGTTGTAAAAGTTTATTTACATTGTTTGTAATTTCCTTTTTTTTTGCTTTGGGGAAATTAATTTGCATGTTTTCTTTTTTTTTGGTTTTTGTAAATGGTTTTTGCCAAATAAAATCTAAAAGCAAAAACAATATTGTCACTCTATGAAATTTAGTCTCATTGCTTGCTGTGCAATAAATTTCTATGCTGCAAGATATTTTGTCAACTTCGAAAGTTCGACTGTCATAAAATTCATTGCTTCATGTACTTATGTACATGCATACATATACACATGTAAATAACATATTGTTAGAGATTGTTTGTTAGAAGTGTTTTGTTGGTTGCATATAATTGCCATGTATTGTTTGCGAAAATATGTCAATGAATTTTTTATTGAGTTCAATATTAAGTTAACTTTTGTTTTTGTTATTAAAGCTAATAACTTTGGCCAGTGTTTGCAACATGAGTGGGATAAAAAGTTGATATACGTAAATTTTATTTTGATTCTGTTTTATCGTGTCTTCTCGAAATGCAAATGTTACTCACTTTCAATCAAAATTCTTTCAATTTTTCAATCATTTGCGTTTGCACTTCTTAATAATTTTTATTTGATTTACTGGAATTTCTAATGCCTTCTCCAAGCACTTTCAATATCCACTCAGCGCGAATCAACATTTCGTATTCACTACTTTCAAGTTTTTTATATAGGGTGTGCCAAAGTTTTAGGTACTTTCGAAGGACTCAAAAAAATGGAAGTCGGGAAAAGAGG